CTGGGCATGTGGCTCTTGGGGAGAGCCAGCACTGTAGGGGGGGCCTGATAATCATTCCTGTCCCCACATTTTCCACAGGATGTGATCATTATGGAAGATATCTTGGTGTTGAGGGTGAGCAGGGAATCAAGAGCGGGTCTTCTCCAAGACTGTGGCTTCCGCCCTGGCCCTTACGTGGCTTGCCCGTGTGCAGCAATGGTCCCCCCGCCCCTCCCCGCGATGGCACAGTGGTGCGGGAAAGTTACCGCTAATGAGGCAAGAAACAAAGCAGCTCTGCCAAAGAACCTGCAGCAGCAGATTGCCCAGTATCTCCATGAGAGTTTCCTGGAGATCTGAGGCAGATTCCCGTGAAGTGAGGGAGTCAATCAACAGCCTGTTCCGCCGCTCAGACTAGGCATGTGGTGGTACGTGCATCATACAGACACAAGCCTGCTTTCTGCAACCCTCCTGCCCCCAACAACTCGCCTCAGTGATTCCCAAAATCAAATCCACTTACCAGGGGCCTCCTCTCCTGTTTGCGCTTCGCCAAGATCTGACAGCTGTGACTGGCTAGCCTCCTCCGGGGTAGAAAAGAGCTCCTGGCTGCCTGCATCTCTGACCTCAGAGTCATCCTCTGCCTCTGGGTTCCCCTCCCACTCCACATCCTCATCCAAGATTTCCTCCTCCTGGCTCGGAACCAGGAAGTATCCACCAAAGTATCCAGAATGGTCTTCGCGGTGGAGGTGGGGTCGCCTATCGCGTCCAGCTCTTTGTAGAACCGGCAGCTCATGGGTACAGCACTGGAGCAGTGATTTGCTCCCACGCCTTATGGTAGGTGTTCCACAGCTCCTTCCCTTTGACCCTGCACTGCAGTGTGTCCCGGTCATGGCCCCTTTCTGTCAGCATCGTGAAATCTGTCTGTAGGTATCATAATTCCTACAGCTGGAGCGCAGCTGGGACTGGACAGCCTCCTCTCCCCAAATGCTGATGAGGTCCAGCAGCTCGGCATTGCTCCAAGTGGGGGATCGCCTGGTGCGTGGAGCAGGCATGGCCACCTGGAAAGATGCGCTGAGACCACTGCACATGTCACTGAGCAAACAGGAAGGGGACTTTCAAATTTCCAAAGGAATTTACGGAGTGGGGCTGATGGTTGGTCACCTGAGGGCAGGACAGTAGAGTTCAAACTGATGACCAGAGAGGCAAGATCAGGCATTGTGGGACACCTCCCAGAGGCCAGTTGCAGCACTGTAATTGACCAGGGTGTCTACACTGGCACTGCAGCGCTGTACCCCCAGCACAGAAAGCTCTACGCCTCTCGGCAGGGTGGGTTTTTTACAGCGCTGCAACTGCACAGTGTCTGCGCAGTAAGTGGCTTGGCAGTGTGTACCCCTCGGGAGTTACAATGCAGACAGCTGCTTTACTGGGCAGAAACTTGCCAGTGTAGACAGGGCCTTAGAAGGAATACAGCCAGGCCTTCCGAGCCAACGTTACATTCAGAAAAGGGAGATGTGAGGGGCGTAAGTGAAAAGAAGGGGCCAAAGCCCAGGGAAGGGAGAGCAGTGGTACAGAGAAGTTCCCACTCCAACTCTGGTACTTATGTGCAGGGCCGGCTCCAGCCTTTTTGCCGCCCCAAGCAGCGAAGAAGAAGAAAAGAAAAGAAAAGAAAAGAAAGGAAAACTCGATTTAGGTGCCGCCGAAGAGGAAGAGAGGGAGTGAAGGACCCGCTGCTGAATTGCCGCCGCAGACCCGGACGTGCCGCCCCAACAACGGACGGAGTGCCGCCCCTTTCTATTGGCTGCCCCAGGCACCTGCTTCCTTGGCTGGTGCCTGGAGCCGGCCCTGTTTATGTGGCCCCACCACTGTAGTATCTGAGCACCTCACATCACAGCCCCTCGGTGAGGTACAGCAGTGCTGTTATCCCCACTGTACAGATGGGGCACTGAGGCACAGAGAGACGAACTGCCAGATTTTCAAAGGTATTTAGGCACCTTGTGGGATTTTCAAAAGCACCTAGAAAGTCAGGTGCTTTGTAAACCCCACTAACTGCCTAGCTGCATCTCTGGGTGCCTAAAAACCTTTGAAACTCTGTCCCTAAGGCACTGACCTGAGGTCCTACAGGAAGTCCATGGGGGGGAGTAGAACCCAGGTCTCGCTCCCTCTCCACCGGACCAGCCTGTCTCTCTGCTGCATGCTGCCAAAAAGAGGCCTGTGATGGATGGGAGCAGAACCAATGCGGCCAGTTCTCTGAGACTCCAACCCATGGTCCCAGCTGATTGGGAGCAACATCATGGTAACAGTATCAAAGGCAGCACAGAGGTCAGGAAGGATGAAGAAGGAAAGAGAATGAGAGTCGGATGAGAGGAGAGCACTTAACCGCCAGTGGGGGGCAGGTTCTGCCCCAGGCTGGGCTGTACAGCAATTTTAGCTGAAAACCATTCTGTCTGGTCATTTTTTGTTCTGAGTTTGAGAAAAGGAAGGAGCGAGAAAGTGTCATATGAGTATCAGATGTGATCATACATCAAATTCGTAGGGTGTCAGCTGTATTCAGACCAATTCCAGAACAAAGAACAGAAATTGCATCCACAGAGTCCATAAAGTCGACCATTATTGTCATGATTTTCATTATTCACTGGGCACCATCTGTGTGCTCAGCACTGTTCAGAATAGGCCAGAAAATCCAGTCCTTGAGCCAAGGCATGTAAGCTGTGTAACTCTGGGTAAGACGGCTCAGATATTTAAGTATGAAGTGTATAGTTATTGATCCCACATGTTATCACATGGTCACTGTGATGTTTATATCTATGAGTGGCGGCGCTGATGGCAATAGAAGTTTTACTTGATTAAGGGCTAGAAGATTTGACCCTCCAACTTTCTTTCAAGAGGAAGAGCTGCCCAGAGCACCTGTGCCTGTTTATTTTCCTTTCCTGCCTGCCGTGGCCCTGAGATACCTCAGAAGTCTCCGTTTTTTCCCCAACTTTAAAATGTGGAAGTTTCTTGGTGTTTGACTTAAAATATTCTCCTGGGAAAACTGCACCTCAATCACTGTAGTGTTGTGTTTAAGAGCCTTCTGGAAAGTAGTTAGCCTTTAAACAGAAGTGAAAGCAGTGTTGCCAACTCTCATGAATGTGTCATGAGTCTCATGATAATTATTGTTTTCCTTAAAGCCCCAGCTCCTGGAATCAAGTGATATGTGATGATTTCAGCCTTCATTCGTAAAGAAAAATGAAGTTTCTAGCCATTGCGGCTGTGGGAACAGCTTCAAAATGTGACTCCAGGGCACCTTAAAGGCTCAAAAAGCAGAATGTAAATAAAAAGGCCAATAAATCCATTATTTTTACATAATCTCAATATTTTAAAGCCAATCTCATGATTTTTGGTGAGCCTGATTTTTGAACATTTGGGGTCGGCAATACTATGAAAGTGACTTGAAAGTGTCAGTTTCACTCCTGTTTAAAGTCAGTTTCTAGTCTATTATTGGTAGTGGGGTAACACCCCTAGAGCCCCAGGCAGGTGCAGTATAAACTCCCAGGGCCTGGCCCTAATAGGATGTTTCCAAAAATTAAATGCTCTATTCCAAGCTTGATGAACTGCAAGAAAGTGATAGAAAGTGATCTAGGTTTTTCTACAATTGTTATATTCAAGAGTTAGTAACAAAGTAAGAATATACATTAATTTTTTAAACCTAACCAGTGTCCCTTAAGTGAATTGGCACAACAAGTATTAGAGCTGGGTGGGTCTAATACACCTCTACCCCGATATAACGCGAATTCGGATCTAACGCGGTAAAGCAGCGCTCCGGGGGGGCAGGGCTGCGTGCTCCGGCAGATCAAAGCAAGTTCGCTATAACGCGGTTTCACCTATAACGCAGTAAGTTTTTTTGGCTCCCGAGGACAGCGTTATATCGGGGTAGAGGTGTATTTATTTAATTTTCTTTCTTTATATAGGAATTAGAAATTATTATCCAACAGGAGCACCGTATCTAAGTTATTATCTGCAAAAAACCAAGAGTTTTCAGGTGCCCAAGTAGCCTTTGGAATCACGGTTAAAGTTGCCCCCCAAAATCTGAAATGGCGCCCTGGGTTAGAGCTGAGCAGAGGATAAATTGATGGTCAGGTGCACTGCGGAGTCACATCCTGTCTGGCAGCACCATAACTTGCCATGTAGACAAGCCTAAAGGAATCAAGATGAAGACGAAGCTGGGCTAATTTTCAGCCCCTTGAACATGGATGTGACCCTTGGAGAGTGTGAACTGGCCCATGTCTTCACACCAGCCGCACTGCAAAGCCAGACCCGCGTTAGTGTGTCCTCACTGGTGTTACGTCCGGCCCCCCCCCATCCCTGAGTGTTGCAGGCTCTCCTGCGGGGCTCTGTGATTCTTTCCTAGGGAATTGTGGGAGAGCTTGTCTGTCCCTCTGGGCACCCAGGCTGCATGGGGGAAGGCACTGGAGGACTGGCAGCGTTCGAGTGGGTGGGTTGCCAGCTTCAGTGAAAGCAGCCCCTGGGGCTCTAACGCACCCCCCCAGCTAGCCCAGGTTGAAAGCACCGGAAGGAGAGGGCTGTGTGTGTAGATGGCTAGGGCCAACCCCTGAGCGAGCGCTGCATGCCGTCTCTGAGTAGAATGAAATGGGAGGCTACTCAGGGCTGTATGGGTGTGTTTGTACAAGCAGAGCCTAAGATACACACATAATTTACCACCTGCTGTTGCAAACACACACACATCCTGGTCCTCCACCAAGTGTGATCCAAGAGCGCTTGAGAAGATCCATGGGACTCCAGCTGCGATAACCAACTGGATTTCCCTTTCCAACCCGTCTAAACATTTTTGCAGTTAGGGCCAGACTGTGCAACCCGTATTTGCACCAGTGAGCACGTACGCACCCCAGTGAACTCACTTGTGCACGGCTCCATGTGTCCCCTGCCCACCCTTCCTCTCCCATTGGACACATCTGGGGCAGGGCTGAGCTTTCAGGGACTGATCCCGAGCTGCATAACCCACGTTCTGCTCTTCTGTTTCTCCCCAGCCCGCCTCTGAGCGCGAAGACCCAATGGCATTTATTCCGCGTGTCTCCAGAGAATCTGCGGACGTACCAAACCTTCCCCTCAGGGAAGAGGGTGACCGCCCAGGAGAGAGAAGTCAGAGACAGCTATTTTGAGTACAGAGCATGAGGAGAGAGGTTCCCCTTCCACCCCCGGTTCCTAGATGAGGAAGGAGCGGTGAGAAATAAAACATTGGGAGTTAGCGACCCCCTGGATTCTCTCTCCAGGCTGCGGCTGTTTCTAAACAGGACAGCTCTTCCGTTACCCACCTGCAGTGCAAGGAGCGGCTAGGCATGTGGCTGCAGTAAGTCACAGACCATGCGCCTGCCACTGTAGATGTACATTTTACACAGAGATAAAGGACAGGTGGGGTGTGCACTGAACGCAACAGATTCAGCAGCTGTCGGTGAGAATGTAGAGGCTCAGCTCTGGCCGGTACAGCCTTTTATTGTCCTCCAGAGAGATCGGGGTCAAAGCGGAAGCTCCGCCCACAACTCAAACTGTGCCAACAATCGTGGCTCAGCTCTTTCGTAATGCCAAGAGGCACCGCTCACAGCAGGCGGGCAGGCCTCCATAATAGGTTTTCCTCTCCCCTTCCTCACGTAGTTTGTTGGCAGAGAAATAGTTAATAATGTTGGCAATTAAATGGTCACCATTAGGCTTCAGAGTTAACACCCACCCGCGTCAATAGAACCATTGACGCTTCTCTCAGAGTTGTTGTTTCAGGCTCTCTGAGGACTCAGGGTCACAACTGGATGCTTTTCTACTCCAGTGTAAGAGCCAGAAACTTGTTTTTAAACGAGAGCTTAGATTCTGGGAGCAAAGACGGCAGGCAGCAGGGAAATGGACTCCTTTGCCAACCCCTGGGAGAACTATTTATACAGAGAATATAAGAGCTGCTTTCTGTTCGGTGTTCTTCCATCTTTTGTAAAAAAGTAGTCCCTCATAAACCTAAGAACCAGAGTGCAGCCTGTCGCTGCGCTGATCCTGAGCCTCAGACCAGACCAGGAACCATAGAATCATAGACTATCAGGGTTGGAAGGGACCTCAGGAGGTATCTAGTCCAACCCCCTGCTCAAAGCAGGACCACCCCCCAACTAAATCAAGCCTGACCTTAAAAACCTCTAAGGAGGAGATTTCACCACCTCCCTAGGGAACGCATTCCAGTGCTTCACCACCCTCCTAGTGAAAAAGTTTTTCCTAATATCCAACCTAAACCTCCCCCACTGCAACTTGAGACCATTACTCCTTGTTCTGTCATCTGCCACCACTGAGAACAGTCTAGATCCATCCTCTTTGGAACCCCCTTTCAGGTAGTTGAAAGCAGCTATCAAATCCCCCCTCATTCTTCTCTTCTGCAGACTAAACAATCCCAGTTCCCTCAGCCTCTCCTCATAAGTCAACCAGCGTAATTTGACGAGCCCCATGCTGATCGCCCGTCAGCTCAATGTCAGGTTCACAGGGTGAAATTCACCAGCCCCAGGAACTCCCACCTGAGCACATAGGGCTTGTCTGGGCCGTCTGCACGGGGTCAATTTCACCCTGGGTGAACAGTGAGAGTAAAGCAGCAGAAGTGCTGAAAGAAGCTGCCCCAGAGACAGGGGGCTGTGAGTCAGGGGGTCCCATTAATATAAGCCTTATCGCTCCTCTTTGGCACTATAGCTCGTGATTCATGCTGCTGGCTTTCCCAGGCAGTTCATAGATTCAGAGTTCCTAGGGCCAGGAGATCATCCAGTCTGGCTTCCTGTGTGGCACAAGCCAGAGAATTTCACCCAGTTCCCCCCATCCTGAGCCCAGCCACTTGTGTGTGGCTAAGGAATGCCTTCCGCCAGGCCACCAGTGAGGATCTGAAGACATGGAGAGATGGACAAGCTGCCGCTTCCCTTGGGAGTTTGTTCGAATGGTTAATCGCCCTCCCTGTGGTCTTATTGCTAATTTGAATGTGTCTGTGTAATGCGGGCCTCTTCCTGCCAGAGTGCCCCCGGACAGCAGTGTGCTGTTTTGCAGGGGATTTTGCCCCTGTCAACCTCTGGTGGCCACTTCCTTGGCCTAGCTCTGGGCCTTCCTCTTAAGTTCAGCCCCTTCCACAGTAATGAAAGGTCCAACTGAAAGTCCGAATAATACTGCGTCTGGTTCTCTTGGGCTCGCTGACATTCCCTGCTTCTCGGCCCCTGTTCCTGGGCCCTGCTGAGCTTCTCCACTGCTCCTTCCTCCTCGCAGGCTTTCTCCCCGTGCCTTTCCTGCCCCAGAACTCTGGCAGCTTCCCACAGGGATCTCCCTGCTCCTTGAAAGCCCTAGCTCAGTGCTCTTGCTCGGGAGCCTTCCTTGAGCCAGCTTTGCTCCCCCAGGCCCTACTCAGAAAGGGAACTCCCCAGAACATAAGAATGGCCAGACTGGGTCAGACCACTGGTCCATCTAGCCCAGTATCCTGTCTTCTGACAGCGGCCAATGCCAGGTGCCCCAGAGGGAATGAACAGAACAGGGCAATTATCGAGTGATCCATCCCGTTGTCCAGCCCCACCATCGGTCCCCTTGTCAGAGGTGTAGGGACACGCAGAGCATAGGACTGCATCCCTGAGCATCTTGGCAAATAGCCATTGCTGGACCGATCCTCCCTGAACTTATTTAGTTCTTTTTTGAAGCCAGTTATACTTTTGGCCTTCACAACATCCCCTGACAATGAGTTCCACAGGTTAACTGTGCGTTGTGTGAAGAAATACTTCCTTTTGTTTGTTTTAAACCTGCTGCCTATTCATTTCATTTGGTGACCCCTAGTTCTTGTGTTATGAGAAGGAGTAAATAATACTTCCTTATTCACTTCCTCCACATCACTCATGATTTTATAGACCTCTATCATATCCCACCTTAGTCATCTCTTTTCTCAGCTGAAAAGACACAATCTTATTAATCCCTTTTCAGATGGAAGCTGTTCCATACCACACCTTTTCTGTACTTTTCCCCAATTCTAATACATCTTTTTTGAGATGGTGCGACCAGAACTGCCCACAGTATTCTAGATGTGGGCGTACCATGGATTTATGTAGTGGCATTATGCTATTTACTGTCCTATTATCTATCACTTTCCTAACGGTTCCTAACATTCTGTTCGCTTTTTCGACTGCCGCTGCACATTGAGAGGATGTTCGCAGAGAACTATCCACAATGACTCCAAGATCTCTTTCTCGAGTGGGAACAGCTAATTTAGACCTCATCCGTTTATACGTATAGCTGGGATGATGTTTTCCAATGTGCATCACTTTGCATTTATCAGTGTAAGCAGAGTCAGGATGAGCTCTACCCTGACATCTGGTGGTGAATTATGGCGAGTGTGGAAAAGAACTCCAGGGGCGGATCTTGTTTGCATAGGCACACCCACACGCCTAGCATGAGCCCACAGCAACCAAAAGTGGTTACTTTGGCTGGTGTGGGATCCCCAGTTTCTCTGTTATTGAGGCAGGAAAAATAAAGTTTTGTTACCCTGATTCTGTGAATCAAGGCCAGTGGAACTGTTGTATGACAGAAGGACTGAGTGAATCCGTCACCATTACCTAAGTAGCATTTGCTTGTCAAGGGGCATGGGTTACAAAACCCAGTGAATTGAGAGAGGTTGGGGGCAGGTATTGGTACCTGGTGGTGTGGGGCCCCTGCGTGAGCCTGAAACACCAATTGCACCTTCTCCTCTCTCCACTGTTGAATGTCAGAGCTAACTTTGATTCCCTTAGGAGTCTAGTTACAGGCTTCTGAGCTGAGTTCACTTTGGGCCACTAGTGCACCAGCACTGGGGCTCCCCTACTATGTGCTGAAATCACTATGAGCTGAAGTTACTAAGAGCTGAGATTACTGAGGCTGTGTTAACTAGTGGGGGAGCCTGAATTGCTAAGCGGCTGGCGGAGCAGCTAGCCGAGTGGAGCCTCGCGGGGACGGTTGGAGCAGAGCAGAGCGGAGCTGAGCGGCTCACAGGTCGGTGAGCGGAGCAGAGCAGCTGGCAGAGCGGAGCCTTGCGGGGACGGTTGGAGCGGAGTGGAGCCGGGCGGCTCACAGGTCGGTGAGCGGAGCAGAGCAGAGCAGTTCGTGGGACGGCAGGAGCGGCTCACGGGACAGCAGGTGGAGTGGAGCGGCTCGTGGTGAAGGCTGCGGCGGAACCCCACGGAGAGGTGGCCGGTTGGTCTCGGATCACGTAAGGTGCCCCTTAACACCCTGCGCCCCTCCCCCCTGAACTCTGGGGCTGCACTGACCAGGGACAGAGACTTTGGGGGGTTGTTGGACTTTTGGGACTTTGGTGATTCTTGGGTTGCTGGACCCAAGAGACTTTGGGGTTGTTGGACTTTTGGGACTTTGGTTGCTGGTTTCAAGAACCAACGGGAAAGGACACGGCCCAATTTGCTGGGGTGGGTCTTCGCTCATGGTTTGGTCTATGAACTCTAGTTGTGGTGTTTTCCCAATTTAATGCTATGTCGTTTACCTCATGTTATTAAACATTTTTCTGCTACACCGAGGCTCTGTGCTTGCGAGAGGGGAAGTATTGCCTCTTCGAGGCGCCCAGGGGTGTGTGTAAGATTTTCCCAGGTCACTGGGTGGGGGCTCGAGCTGGTTCTGTGTCACGCTGTTGGGAAGGGACCCCTATGTACTGAACCCGGCCCTTGCTGCTATCACTTGGCCTGGCAGAAGGGTTACATCAGCCTTGAATGTCATCTGCCATTTTGTTGCCCAGCCTCCCAGATTTGTGAGTTTGGAGTGAGACCGATTTCACAGCTCTGGTTAAACAGCTAGTGCTCTGATCCCCTGCAGCTGGGGTCAGTCATTACCAGGACAACTCCATCATGGTCAGCTGGTGACAATCTGGCTTCAACTGCTCGCCACTGGTTCTTATTATTTTTTCGCTGCTAGATTAAAGTGCCCATTATTTTCTCCCCAGGGAGGTACTGGTACCCTGTAATCAAGTCACCTTTCAATCTTTTTGATGAGGCAAACAGATGGAGCGCTTTAAGGGTATGTCTACACTGCAGTAAACACCCGTGGCTAGCCCGGGTCAGCTGACTTGGGCTTGCAGGGCTATAAAACTGCAGTATAGACATCCAGGTTCAGGCTGGAGCCCGGGCTTTGGGACTCTCCCCATTTGAGGAGCCTGT